ACTGAAAGCTGAAATTTCATATGTATGCATCCAAGATGCCCCGATGATAGAAAAACCTGAACATATCTCAAAGTCTTGAGACATAAAGTTCATAACAGAACCCAATGCTTATTTTAGGTTATGATAGGGTTGCCGGCTGAGATGGGAGGGCGGGAACATGGGGGGGAGTGTTTCAGTGAACCCAAAAGTGCCACCATTGTGACAACAGGATTCTCTAGGATTTCACCACAGCATATCCAGAGAATCCTAGAGCACTGGGCGGACATGATGACGTCACTGCCAGGTGACGATGTCATAGTGTTGCCACGGTGTTGGTTTTCACACACTTTTGTCCCTTGCCACTCTATCGAGAGGTGGGAGGGGTTAGGAGCTGCTGGTGGGAGGGGAGATCCAGCAGCCCTAGGCTGAGAGAATGCATCCCCCCCCCGTTACGCTTCCACACATGCTAAAGAATGCCGTTGCAATCCACTTCAGCGACCGTTTGCAAATGGATCTTGACTTTTTACACAGTAAAATCCAGTTGCAAAGTGCGTCGAAAGTGGATTGGCAGGATATAGTACTTCAAGTTGAGAACTTAACTGGTTATAAAATTCCATTGAAAAGTGTGACACTCAAGATCCGTCTCGAGTTCAGAGAAGCAGGATTTCTTGTAGCAGCTTTGTTTGCAGAATGCAGACTTGATTTCAGTAGTACAGGGCAACTAGTTAACGCTGACTTACGGCAACCCCAGCAAGGGAATTTCTAGCTGCTGTTTGTATGTTTGGCTTAAGACCTCGGGTCAATGAAGCTAATAAATGAAATGGAGCAAGGGAATTTCAAGGCCAGTGAGAAGCAGAGCCTTTCTTGGTGGTCTCCCTTCCGACTCTGCTTAGCTTCTGAGAGCTGATGAGCCCAGGGTTTTGCCCGGCAAGGTGGCCAGTGTTCCCTCTGTTTTTGAATGACACGGGTTCTTGCTAACAGAATGAATGCTTGAGTTGCTGTAGATTTTCCGGGTTGTGTGGCCGTGGTCTTGGCATCGAAGAACCTGATGTTTCGCCAGTAGCTGTGACTGGCATCCTCGGAGGCAGAGGTCATTTTGGAGGGGAACGCAAGTGCAGGGGGTGGGGCACATGACGAAGAAGGAGTTCCCCCTACAAAAGGAGCCCTGGTGGTATCATATGTTCCCAGCCAATCAGCACTCTATAAAGCCATTTCCACATCTAGACTTGCCAGGTCCAAGCTGCGAAATTCCTGGAGATTTGCAGGCAGAGCCTGGGGAAGGCGGGGTTTGAAGGTGGGAGGGACCTCAGGAGAAGCCGAACAACCAGTACAAACTATACAAAGAACCGTGATATAATTAACTAAGGCCCCTTTTATGGAATTTTTTTCCTGTATAGACTGTAAAGATTTTCAACATTAATAGATACCAAAGAATTTTACAATACAGTCAAAGCCACATAGTTTCTCCCCTTCTGCTGTCGAGATCAAGAGTTTTCACAAGCCAGCTGAGCCGCCTAGTTTGAAAGCACCGCGCAGAGTGGAGCTCACTGAATGATCAAATGGGGGATTTACATGAGGCTTCTGCTGCGGAATTTGCCCTGTAGAAGATCATAGAAATGGGTTTTGAGCCACCCCGTAGGCGGGAAGCCCCAGAAGTGCTATTAATAGAGGAACCATATGTTTTGCAAAATTCTTTGGAATTCTTAATGTTAAAAACAGGGCCGCGGTGGCTCAGAGGTTAAGACACTGAATTGCAGACTGGAAGGTCGGTAGCTTGGCAGTTCGAGACCCGAGTGCTGCATGACGGAGTGAGCTCCCGTCTCTGGTTCCAGCTCCTGCCAACCTAGCAGTTCAAAAGTAAGAAATTGCAAGTAGATAAATAGGTACTGCTTTGGTGGGAAGGTAACAGCGTTCCGTGCGCCTCGGCGTTTAGTCATGCCAGCCACGTGACCACGGAGAAGTCTTTGGACAGCGCTGGCGCTTCGGCTTGGAAATGGAGATGAGCACCGCCCCCTAGAGTCAGATCCGACTGGCTTCCGAGCAAGGGAAACCTTTACCTTTTTAATGTTAAAAATCTTTATAGTAAATACGTAAAAATCTCCATAAAATAATATCTTAGTAATTATATCATGTTTGTATGGTTTGTACTCGTTGTCCCACTGAGAGGTTGACAATCCTATGTAGAACATTTTTTCTTCGACGTTTAGTCCCCTAAAGAAGATTATACATGTGCCAACTATACATTCTGTGTGCTTTCCAGAGCAACAGGGCGCCTGGTTTTATTTATGTCAAGACTATTCTTTCAGCACTTCAACAGTAAACTTCTTAAAGTGTGTCTCAAAGGTCAGGAAGCCATGCTTTAGTTCCTAATATGTGAGCTGAATGGAGAATATATGTCTGTTACATACAGCACGGGCGTGTACAGATTTAGTTTGGAAGTGATTTATTTGTTTGTTTATTTAAATTTATAACCCGCCCTCCCTGCGAGCGGGCTCAGGGCGGCGTACAGATGGGGCCAATGCCCAATACATAAAACATTAAAACTGCATTTTAAAAACATTCAGTACAACATAAGTGCTCACCATAATATCTAACAAGGGAACAGATGACGTCATCAGGATGGTATCCTTAGTGGCCACAGTTCTACGCAGTACCACCATTTTAGCGCTCGCGGCGAGTTGGTGATAAAGGGCTAGGACAGATAGTAATAGTCGTAGACAGATGGTAATAGTCGTAATAGTCGGGGCGGCTCCTACTCAAACACCTGGCGGAAGAGCTCCGTCTTACAGGCCCTGCGGAACTGTGCAAGGTCCCGCAGGGCCCGGATCTCCTCTGGGAGCTCATTCCACCAGGGTTAGGGTTTTCGGTCCCCAGAAGGAAAGACAACAAAGGGAATCTGGTCTGCAGAATGAATGAACGTCCAGTTCTTTGGCAATCAACACTGTTGTGGATTATTCCTTTTTCCCCCCCCCCCCCCCCACACACCTATCAGGTGCCCAGGGACATGCCTTCAAATGGCTTTGGAACGCTTAGCAGTTTTCTGCCCAGGGGTCTCCACACTGAGGCATCCTCCTGTCCGGTCTGAGCTTTAACAGAGCTTGTAGTACTTTGCCACTGGTTTGGGAAACCGATTCCGTGTCGCTCGCCAAGATGCCTTCCTGCCGTTTCCCGAAACGCAGTCCGAAAGGGTTGAAGTTAAATTTGCTCCTGGTGAAACGGAGTCTGCAGGAAACCTGGCTCTCGGTATCGCTCTCCTGGATGAAGTAGCAGAGGCTGGAGGGATCGGCCACGTTCAGGACCCGGGAGTCTCGGGCTGTATGATAGGAATTCCTCTTGGCTTCCAAGTCGCTGGCTGGATCTGCCAAGTCTAGGAGAAGACCCACAAGCGGAAACGTGGGGGATTGCAAAGGAACTTGAAACATCAGAACTAACCAGTAAGTGTATCCTAAGAGCTTTTCTGCATACTCATTTCCCTTGCTTTTAACTTCCTGTTCCTTTGGGGTTCCCCCCCCCTTGTTGTGCATGTCTTTTGCTCCCTCTAGTGGTTGATTCAATATTACATTGGTTTATGTCCAACATAAAAACCTGCAGTTTAAATTTGCGGGGAGATATGCCCAACATAGGAGCTGCGGTGGCTCAAGTGATTAAGATGCTGAACTGCAGGCTGTGGAAGGTCGGTAGTTCAGCAGTTCGAGACCTGGGTGCCGCATGATGGAGTGAGCTCCCATCTCTAGTTCCTGCCAACCTAGCAGTTCGAAAGCAAGAAATTGCAAGTAGATAAATAGGTACCCCTTCGGTGGGAAGGTAACAGCGTTCCGTGCACCTTGGTGTTTAGTCATGCCGGCCCCATGACCACGGAAACGTCTTCGGACAGTGCTGGCTCTTTGGCTTTGGAATGGAGATGAGCACCGCAACCCTAGAGTCGAATTCGACTGGCTTTCGAGCAAGGGAGACCTTTACCTTTGCCTTTATGCCCAACATAAACTGATGTAATAGTGAATTAACCACTAGAGGGAGCAAAACACATGTAGAACAGGGAAAAAACCTTGAAGGAACAGGAACTTACAAGCGAGGAAAATGGGAATGCGGAAAACCCTTCGCTAGACTGTACTACTGCAGATGCTGGGGCTGCCTGACCGAACACTCTGCGTTTTTAAGAAACCCACCTAGCTAGGGTTGCCAATCTCCAGGTGGAGCC